TGGACTCGGGTAAAAAATCTGTGCTCTAGTCTGCGATCCAAACTGGCCCACGCCCATACCAGTGTCTCCGATGCGATCCGATGCACAGGAAGTCGATTTAAAGAAGTTGTCATGAAACCGATGGTATGTTCGTGTTCATTTTTCATACGCATCTCGGTTTCTGAACTTTAACACCCATAAATCGCTTGGTAACATTCTCTCTCTATTCTTTTTTGAAATATTTAATCTCACTCTTCAATTCATTGGTCAACATCGTGGATATAGTCACAACGATAACGTCTTTCGGTTTCACAACGATTTTTGATATCGTGGATGTCCGTTTTCCACCGTTCTAACATTTATGTGCGATGGCCTGCAATAAACACTGGACAACATTTTCACCATTTTTGGAACTTCTTAGCAGTGCGTGCCATTTTCACCTCCCTACGGACGATTGAACCACGAGGCTTCGGATTGTGAAGTGAAGTTCTAACTGCTGAGCTACATCGTGACGGGCAAGTGCCGTGGGCACATAAATTAAATAGCTATCTTTGTTTCCACCGACATCTTTTGATTTCTTCCTTTGCCGTACACAAATTTGCTGTCGTCCTGTTCAAAACCCTGCCTAATATGGAGTATCACATTTTATCATTCACCAGTCCAAGTCATTCCAATGTATCATGGGTTGTCGGTTGTCAAGAGTTAACAACAGGTCCTCCTGACTTTAGGTCTTAACTCTTCGACTGGTTATCATAAAGTGATGTGATAAAATAGGTACCGGGGTCTGTGTATTGTTGTTCTTGTATGGGTATCGCCTCTCGAGATTTGAATTACTCTCCCCATTTTTCGGGATCCGTGTTCACAGCTCTTTATCAGTCCATGCACTCAACTTGACCAAAAATATGTATATGTATATGTATATATTTAGTCACTGAAGAATAACGGAGCTTCCAAGGACAATCAATAGCCAGATTCGGATGCTCTCAGTTTGCTTACATCGAAAAGAAGGCATGCGCGTTCCCCTATTTCATCAAATTTCATTTCATTCTCAACAGGAATGAAGAATTTCCAAGTTAAAAGAAAACGATATTTGGAATTGTTTCTTGTGAATCGAAGCTTGAACGATGTCCCTTTAATCATTTTGTGTTTCCAGGTTACTTGGTTTGGTCCACGGTTCCCGGACGTCGCCACAATGAGTCCGGTGAAAATGGCTCGTGCTAAACACCAAGCAGCCAATTTGATGACACAACCCTATTCGTGTTGGATTGTTTCTGTCCAGCCCGGTGATGTATTAATCAGTCTACCTGTGGACAGTGGAGTTTTGTTGTCGACCACTATTAAGACCGTTCTGGACCGACACGGGTATCAACTGTGCTATTTGGGCAAAACAAAAGGCATTTTGGACATGGAGTCTGATCGGATCTTCAATTTATCTCTACAATCGATCACCTTAGGTCAATGTGAACCGCCGCATATCAATAATGTACCGAGATTTGTTATCTGGATTCGTCGGGAAAACTGCGAGCAACATTTGCATGGTCTAATCTGTGACCTTGAGAATGAACTGGACATGCATGACGGTGAGTGTAGGGGAAAGAATTTCTTATACTGTTGGATGTTTGCCGATCGAGATGAGAATATTGGTGTTGGTGATTTCGTCGAACTGAAAACGTTGTTTGCAAACTTATTTTCATACCAACACTAAGGTTGCACATAATTTCTCATAAGATTTCGCCTGATGAAATAAACTGATAAACAGTGAAGTATAATAAGAGATTTCCCTATAAGGTTAATCCATGTGTGTGTGTGTGTGTACGAGTGTGGAAACGAAAAGCACTTAGTCTAATGCCTAACTCCCATTCTGATTTATTAGATTTTAATAGATTCATCAAATGGGCATAGCTTGAGCGGCGCACTGAAAAGCTCGCCCAAGTTTCAGCTCATTTTTTTCGATGAATCACGGATCTCGTTGATTTCAAAACCGGTCAGTGAAACTTGTCATATCAGCGGTATAGCAATTCACTAATCTCGAGGAAATTGACTTTTTTAATACTTCTATTGAGATACCCGTTAGGCAAATCCAACTGATCGCATCTAAACTTGAATTCATCTAGAGGGTTCAGATGAGGCCCCAAGTCCAAACCTAAGCTATCTGTCTCCAGCATTTTTGTGTATTATATTTCACACACGTCTGAGGCCAGACTGTGTGCCAAACAAATCATGGTATAATAATATTTATGAAAAAGAAGGACGTTCCATGATTTGCATGTGGGCCGAATACTGCCAGGTTGCCCAGGCCTTCGGTTAGCCAAAGCCTGACCCGCAAGGCAGCGGGGTGGTGTGCGAAAACTGCAATCGATTGGAAGCCAGTGTCCAGTTCATCGGATCATATGCCTTTCGGACGGGGTCAAACGTCTAAGGTGCCCAATACACCTCGATGCCCAATCGAGCCGGTGACTCTTACCACAACTGGAAAGGTGTGAGTGTGGTTCATCCGCCCCCCTGGTTGGTTTGGAATAAGGGTTTTTTGTCAACTCCCCTAGGTGAACTGCCAGTGGTCCATTAACCTGGTTATGACCCCGGATGTCGGCTATTCGTCCTATCACTTTGGTGGGAAAACACCAGAAGGGAAAACACGAGAAGGCAGTGCTTCTTCAACAGGAGCTATTTAAGACACTTGGTTGAGTGGGAGCATATCACGAGGTGCAAGGGAAGGGTGACAAGCCGCAACCCTAGACACCCACCCCCGACGATATCAGGATTTCGGAGGCAGCATTTTAGTAAGAATTGAGTGTTAACTGTACTTCACTGTCCTTTGAGATAAATATCCCGTAAGAGTTCCAACAAACTTCGTTTTGTTAACTATGTTGTACAGTCATGGACAGGATACGATTTAGTAGTGTTATGCAGATCGAATTAGGGTTTTAGCTAATACAGTTCACCAAGCAAGACCGCCACTTCCCATTTATTTGTTCCCGGCAGTAGGAAATCATCAATTTTCTTTCTCGTACGATATACGGTACGTTTTCTCCATATTATTCCAAGTAAACAGCTTTCACCGACAGGCGTGGCCGCAAAGCTTACCGTTCGTAGTCATGGCTGAGCGAACGGGGAAAGGCGGTAGCAATATATCATTCGTCATTTGTTTTACCGACAGCTTGATTCTCACAGAATCTGCCGGTTGCACCCCATGTTGCTTTTCCGGGCCCATACAAACTGCAAGGGACAGTCATGTTGACAAAATAGAGAAGGTGTTGCAGACACGGAGACGCAAATGGGACTTCAACAAATGTACTCCGTATTAAGATAATAATAAACTATATCAGTTGCAAGTGTTCCATTTTATTCCACTCACGAAACAACTGGGAAACAATGCTGGGGTAGGTAGATAGTAGTAGATAATCACGGTGCAGCACCGACACAAGTAC